ATATGAAATGAGGTTCGCTATTCATAATAGGAGAAGAGGGTCGCTATTCATAATACGAATTGAGGTTCGCTATTCATAATAGGAGAAGAGGGTCGCTATTCATAATACGAAATGAGGTTCGCTATTCATAATAGGAGAAGAGGGTCGCTATTCATAATAGGAGAAGAGGGTCGCTATTCATAATAGGAGGAGAGGGTCGCTATTCATAATACGAAATGAGGTTCGCTATTCATAATAGGAGAAGAGGGTTGCTATACATAATAGGAGGAGAGGGTCGCTATTCATAATACGAAATGAGGTTCGCTATTCATAATAGGAGAAGAGGGTCGCTATTCATAATAGGAGGAGAGGGTCGCTATTCATAATACGAAACGAGGTTCGCTATTCATAATGGGAGAAGAGGGTCGCTATTCATGATAGGAGAAGAGGGTCACTATTCATAATAGGAGAAGAGCTATTCATAATAGGAGTAGAGGGTTGCTATTCATAATAGGGTCACTACTCATAATATGAAATGAGGTTCGCTATTCATAATAGGAGAAGAGGGTCCCTATTCATAATATGAAATGAGGTTCGCTATTCATAATAGGAGAAGAGGGTCGCTATTCATAATACGAAATGAGGTTCGCTATTCATAATAAGAAATGAGGGTCGCTATTCATAATACGAAATGAGGGTCGCTATTCATAATAGAAGGAGAGGGTCGCTATTCATAATAGGAGAAGAGGGTCGCTATTCATAACACGAAATGAGGTTCGCTATTCATAATACGAAATGAGGTTCGCTATTCATAATAGGAGAAGAGGATCGCTATTCATAATAGGAGAAGAAGGTCGCTATTCATAATACGAAATGAGGTTCGCTTTTCATAAAAAGAGAAGAGGGTCGCTATTCATAATAGGAGAAGAGGGTCGCTATTCATAATAGGAGAAGAGCTATTTATAATAGGAGTAGAGGGTTGCTATTCATAATACGAAATGAGGGTCGCTATTTATAATAGTTTCACTATTCATAATAGGAATAGAGGGTCGCTATTCATAATACGGGATGAGGGTTTTTATTCATAAAATGAAATAGGCCTAAGCAATATCCACAATGCTCATAACAAATGGAAATATTGGACGGAGGACACCCCCAAGGCGATACATGGCCCTAAATAATTGTCTTGTTTGTAAGTAGGTCTGAAATTTGATATCCAATGTTGTAAACATAATTGAGAATTTAAATCAATAACATTTGAATCATGAAACATCCTCAAGCTCACCTCCCCTCCACGTCGAGGGAGCAAGAAAGATACGCATAGATAATTTTGTTGCTGTGTCGGGTCCGCTGTGTCGGGTCCGCTGTGTCGGTATTCTTGCTCGATCTTCGTATACTATATTTATGTAGAAGTTTGAAGTCGGTGAGATGTATTATGTCGGTAATTTTTTTCCCCTACGAAGTGTGACTTTTTATCGGATAAAGAAACATTTTTGAGAATTCAGACAATGATTAAGAGTCGCCCGAATCGTCCGAATCGTCCGATTCGTCTTCTTTGTCTAATATTTTAATGAAACGTTAAAGCTTCCGCGCTTTGACGGGTTATTTTCGGTTTTTTTTCTTCATTTTTCGAATGCATTTCATGAACTAATGTAGATGAAATGAAATGAATGAATGTTGATGATGTGGGAGGAAAAAGGAGTTACCTAAAAGTCATTTCGAATATACTGAAATAACTTTCCATCTATCACTGTACGTCCCATATAATGTACACTAAACACTCATTACATGTCGTGGGAAGTTTAAAAAAAAGTAGAGCAGCAAGCCACATTCCCCAATACGCGCATACCTCCTAGTTAATTTCAAACAGCTCATCAATATGTAAGACCTGAATTGACCTCAATGCAAGCAAGCACATGCGTCTTACTAGGTAAACCATCTGCAAGTAAAGCATTATACAATGTACTAGGTCATCATGGAAGTTCTAGAAAACAACAGGGGAGGGATCAAAATAAGCTTTGAAGGGCACTTATACGGGGAAAATGAATTCAAACAAGGATTAAGAGTAGTGAACGGTACAACTAATCGTCTTCTTTCTCTTATATTTTAATGGAACGTCAAAGCTTCCGCGCTTCGCACCGGAAGGGGAGGGGGGGGGGGTGAAAATAATTTCGCTCCTGGCCCCGGATTTATAGGGTTAAATTTGTAGACATTGGGACATTGGCATTAACATATATATATATATATGTTAATATATAAATGGTAGCTATTTTTGTCGGTATTCGGTGGCCTCTTCACCCCCCTGAAACTGAAAAAGGTCTAGCGACGCCCCTGCCTACAACCCCCTTTTTGTCGCTTCCATCCTTTGCTGAAGGTAAGGGACATGATAGATCAACCCCTTGATGGCAACACTGCTACCCCCCAACCGCACCCCCCCCCCGTGAAACACAAACAGTTTACGCCATCTATGAACTAATTGGACGAGAATTGTCAGTAATATGTACTTGTACCACGGAAATACTGCAGGGAGGGTAGGCCGAATGGTCGGACTGATGGGGGGGGGGGGGGGACGCCTTTTTCTTTTCTTTTGTTCAGAAATGTTTTCAACATGTTTTCAATAAATGTTTTCTACAAATATTCCCCTCCCGCCTACGCTACAGCCGTGGGGTATCCCCTATCCATTATTTCGCCTACTAATGTTTATTGCTTATTTAATTTACATTTTTTTTTATGAATAGCAACCCTTATACCGTATTATGAATAGCGACCCTCATTTCGTATTATGAATAGCGAACCTCTAGTCGTATTATGTATAGCGACTCTCATTCCTTATTATGAACAGCGAACCTCTAGTCCTATGATGAATAGCGACCCTCATTTCGTATTATGAATAGCGAACCTCTAGTCGTATTATGTATAGCGACTCTCCTTCCTTATTATGAACAGCGAACCTCTAGTCCTATGATGAATAGCGACCATCATTTCCTATTATGAATAGCGACCCTCATTCCGTATTATGAACAGCGAACCTGTACTCCTCTTATGAACAGCGAACCTCTACTCATATTATGAATAGCGACCCTCATTTCGTATTATGAATAGCGACCCTCATTTCATATTATGAATAGCGATCCTCATTTCGTTTTATGAATAGCGACCCTCTATTCCTATTATGAATAGCGACCCTCTACTCCTGTCATGAATAGCGACCCTCTTCTCGTATTATGAATAGCGACCCTCATTTCGTATTATAAATAGCGACCCTCTTCTCCTATTATGAATAGCGAACCTCAATTCGTATTATGAATAGCGACCCTCTTCTTCTATTATGAAAAGCGAACCTCATTCCATATTATGAATAGTGACCCTATTATGAATAGCAACCCTCATTTCGTATTATGAATAGCAACCCTCTACTCCTATTATGAATAGCGACCCTCATTTCGTATTATGAATAGCGACCCTCTTCTCCTCTTATGAATAGCGACCCTCATTTCGTATTATGAATAGCAACCCTCTTCTCCTATTATGAATAGCGACCCTCTTCTCCTATTATGAATAGCGACCCTCTTCTCCTGTTATGAATAGCGACCCTCATTTCGTATTATGAATAGCGACCCTCTTCCCGTGTTATGAATAGCGACCCTTATAAGTAATGAACCTTATTTCGTATTATGAATAGCGACCCTCTCGTCGTATTATGAATAGCGACCCTGATTTCATATTATGAATAGCGGTCCTTATGATTAATGACCCTTAATGTTAATTATGAATAGCGACCCTCACCTCCCGTTATGAATAGCGGTCCTTATGATTAACGAACCTTATTTCTTTATGAATAGTGACCCTCTTTTGCCATTATGAATAGCGGACCAGGAAGTACGGGAATTTATACGTTATGAATAGGTCCTTATGAATAGCGGACCTTATGAATAGCGGTCCTTATGAATAGCGAATAGACCCCGATCCAAGAGGTAAGTGACGGGGCCGGCCCTATTTTGGCCTCAACTTCTGTTCATTGATTGCTACCCCTAGCTTTCCCGCCCCTCCCCCTCACCATTTATGCCATGACAATCTTTGTGCTCTTTTTCAGATGGAAAACGAGGTTACTCTGAGAGTGTCGGGTGGCAGGGAGCTAGTGATGGGAATGATATCGATGATCTAGAGGATGAAGACCTGGAGCTAAGCGGAATTGATCCCATCATTGGTCATCCAATTGGTTGTGCTGTCTTTGTTTTTAGGTGAGCAAACACGTGCCAAAAGGGTTCAATCTTATGCCCCGTTGCAAAGATGCAATGCAAAGATTAGGATTTTATAAAACATAGAATGATATAATAACAGTGCCATATTGTATTATTTTGGCGTGTCAAGTCTATCTCTAACAACTCCTAACTCTGTACCAATATCCTTCTCAAAATAAGATGTCGTAATCTTTTTCTCTTGATAACTTCCACAGCGCCAAGCATGACATAGATACTAATATTACTGGGCTAGCTGAGGTCATTGATTTCCTACATGGCCATCAGGGTAAGATTTTATCCTCCATATTTGTACTTATTCTTCATTCCATTATCCACTCATTTGCCCAAGTTTTGTTCGAAGCCCTGTCGAAACTGACATTCTGCGTGTGTGTGTGTGCGTGTGTGTATGTGCGTGTGTGTGTGTTTGTGTGTGTGACTGTAACGAAATACAGAGAAAAAAGGTACGTTTTGTCTGAAGCACATAGTGTACGACCTAGACGTTCTTTTTTAAAAATCAACCTAAGACAATTTCGTTTTATATAACAAGTCTTGTGCGCTACCTATTACCATGTGCAAACATGACATCATCATGATATAATCCTACTATAATCTCTGTCTGTAATGCAATATATTATTGAAATCGCCCTTGATTTGATTTTTTGAAAGCCTTTATGATTGTGTTGACCATTGTAGAGAAGAATCAAAATAAATAATTTGGTTTACACCCTACAAGCGCATTACGTAAAGCCGATGTACGCCCCCTCCCTAAATTGCATGCACATGAGAAAATTGATACGAATTTCTGGACATGCCCCTCCCTCAGTTCTGGGTAGAATCTGGATAAGCCGCAGGTTGTTCTCCAAGCACCTTAAAATGATGATATAGGCTTTGTTTGCAAAGCATTTCATAACAAAATGAATATTGACTGAATTCTGATTTTGCATACCAATCAAGTTCCAATACTAGTGGACTATAAGCAGGGGATCAGTGGATGAAAAACAAAACCGATACCGGATCAAAGTATCATTTTCATGAGACCATATTCATTGATTTAATTCATAGAGTATGTAATACTATTTAGGACGTTTTCACATTTTAATATTTTTAATGTGGTGAACTGATCCACTCTCTTATATTTTCTCCGATGTCCTGTCTCTTTTGGAAAACTAGGACGCTACCCTGTGGCTATCATAACTCATGTAGATGTTGCAGAGAAGAACCATGTTGAGAATCTCAAGACCGTCCTGCAGGTATCTGGAGTAAGCGACATTTTCGAAGTGGCGAACCTGACCGCTGAGAAGATAGCACTAGAGGAGCCCTACCAGCACAGTCTGCTCTCTCTCCTGGAGCGGTGTATGACGGATGGAGATGAGACTCTTATCTTCAAGCATTACCAGCGCAAGGAGCAACAGCGCAAGAAGGCGATTGAGAGAAGGCGGGAAGAGAAGAGACGTAATCAAGAGGAGGAGCGAATAGCAGAAGAACGTCGACAAATGGCTGACAGGGAGTTCATTGAGAGAGAAAATCAGATGAGAAGAGAGTTTGAGGAGCAAAGACGTGCGAGTGAGCGGGAACGGGAATGGGCTGAGAAGCAGGAGAGAGAAAGACAGGAGCGAGAGAGGGACCGACGCTATGAAGAATCCATTAAAAAGGTAGAGGCGGAAAAGCAGGTGGAGATCCGCCGAATCATGGAAGCTAATAAGAAAAACGAAGGTGGTTGTAAAATAATGTAATGTAAGCTGCTGTCATTTAAAGCCACACTGTCCTACTTGTAGCTAGTTGCTCCCTCTATATATAAAACAATGCCTAATCGGTGACCATTGGTCCCCCATGATCCTCTTTTTCTTATGTGAATTGAGAGCTGAGTTGATGAGATAACCACCTGTCCAGTGACCTTGCAGGGCGTTCTGATCCCTCCTATTAACTAGTACTAATAAGCTTTAAATAACATTACATGAAATATAATGCCCGTTGTAAGAGAGACGTTATGCGCCTGACGTAGAACTGCGTCGACGACTGGCGCAGTCTAATACACGCCATCTGAGGGATATCTTAAAAATGATTGCAAATTAAATAAAAAGTGCACCCATTGTGTATGGCCTCACATTCTTCATTAGGGGCAGGTAATAATGCGACAAGCGACCTATTACGTTAAAACGTATATATAACCATTCTCCAATTATCTGACTTGTCCATACTAGAAGGTACTTTTTTGTTTTGTTAATGTTTCTAATTTTCTAGTTTTCAAACAGATCAGTCATTTTAATCAATAACACATCATTAAGTTATTTTGATGATAAAGCAATTTGTAATGTCTATACCGAAATCTCTAGAGCAGGACCAGTAATTACGTTCGTTAGACCCATTCACACATAACAATTGGTGCGATGCTGATCGCGATGCAAATACCGACTTTTTTTTGTAATAATATAAAATAATTATAAAATATATATATATATATATATATATATATATATATACATGTATATATATTTTTTAATTTTGCCACCGCTTACACGTGTCAATTGGGTGCGAATTGGATCGCGAAGCAAGGAATCATTTTTTGAGCCCATTGACACAGAGGGATAATACTCGCTCGCCGACAAGAACGTCAGAACTGCGCATGCGTGAATCATGGGATTAAATAAGTCGATTTTTGATTCTCAATACCATTCACACACACAGCACCATGCAAACTATAGAGATTATTCTAAACAAATCGAAAGACTTACTGCGAATAGGATCGCGATGCAAATCGCGAAGATAAGTGAAATTTTTTTTTCCACACACGCAAACAAAAAAGAACCGATTTTTGGATCGCGATGCAAAAATCTATTTTCAAATCTTACTTTTTTTTCTTTAGGTGTGATTGCCCCTAAAGTCTCCAGGCACAGACACTAAGTTAACACTTTATCCAAAATCCTAAAGCTTTGGGCAGAGCCTAGCTATGTCAATTTCTGGCTAAAAGACAGGGCATATTGTAGTCTCATAATGCAGACAATTTTATTTACAACGACTGACCAGGGTTTGTGCCTGCAAACTAGTCTTTACGGGGGAGGGGGAGGTCATTCCAAGGTGCGACTAGGTTGTCTCCAATATTATTGCAAGTTAAAATAAGCTGGGGATTAACAAATTGTTTATAAATAGTTTGTATATAATCATATCGGGATTCTTACACATGTATTTGATATCAATATTTAACAGAAAGATTATTCTCAATGGATTTCTCTGTTTTCACTTTTTATCATTTTTTGTTTGTTCATATGTTGATTGTCTATTTGACCCGTAATTCATATTATCATATCTTATATTGAATGTATCCTTACATGTTTTCAAATGTATTTCGTAAGTTTTGAGCGATTCTGCCACTGGCTGTCATTCACAAATTATCACATTAAATAAATAATTAAATAAATAGATAAATGAATAAGTACTATATTATCTGTATGTACCATCAAAGAATATTATCGAGCTTGTCCGCGAACTTTTTTGTAAATTTGTTTTATATATGTATTTCACATTACTCATTTGCTATGATAAGAGCCATTACAAAAACAAATTGCACACATGTATTCATATTATCATAATGAAATGATAAAATGTATAAATAATAAATGTAAATGTTCACTCAGATCTATTAACAACACTAGGCCTATCTGTTGTTTGTGTAATCAGTTGTAATACCCTGTCTACATTATTTTGGAGAAAAGGAATGGACAGTGTTGAGAATTAGGTGCTCAGAAGTCTCCATAAGGAGCAGGAGAATAATGATGATGTCATGATGATGATGATTATAATTGGGTACCTGGTAGGAATTTATTCCTTGATGAAATGCTAGAGCGCCGTATGGTAGCCGTGCTAAAGCCAGGGTAATAATCGGGAGCGCCAGGAGGGTCAAATCTGACTGACATGAGCGCTATACAAGAACCCATTATCATTATTATCATTATAATGACGATAATAGTGATGATTAGGAAGATGATAATTATGATAATGATGATAATGATGATGGTGATGATGATGATGGTGATGATGATGATGGTGATGATGATGATAAAGATGATAAAGATGATTGTAACTGCAGCCAATCAATAACGACAAGTTAACAAGGTTTTTACGGGAGTGTTTCTTTTATTCTTTGGTATGAGCGTAGCTTCATTTCTTTGACTCCTTTCTTTCAAAGCCGTCCTTTTCACTGCGTGAAAAACTGTGATAAAACAAACAACAAAAAATGGGCATTAATAAAAATGCAATAATAATTACAGGTTCCTTATCCATGTAATAATTACAGGTTCCTTAATACAAATTTGGACGTGACCCATAGGCATTATGCCAAACCTTGCCATTTACTTAACCTTACTATTTATTTCTTTGTGTTTCCTAAATAGTCTTCACATAAATTAATACAACTTAAATTCTTATACACAGATTCATCAACATAAATTCTTATACATAGATTCACCAACTTGAATTCTTTACATGGGCACCTGTCTCACAGTTATGGCATAAATATCATAATTATACACACATTTCCCACAACTTAAACACTGCAAGTTTATGTACTGACCTTCTTGCCTCCGTTTAACTTGTCTGCAGCTAAGAAGATGTTACAGATATTCATCGATTTCTCTACAACATCAGATCGTCCATGTTTGACTTTGAAACTCTGTCTATAAAAGTCTGTCGCCGAAGATGGCGCTCTAACCTTTTAGTCGACTATCTCAAATACACTTACAATAATAATGATAATGTTTATGATGATGATGATTATGATGCTGATAATGATGATGATGATAATAGTGATGATGATGATGATGATGATGATGATTGTGATGATGATGATGATTATGATGATGATAATAGTAAAAATGATGATGATAATGATATTGATGATGATGACAAAGGTAATGATAATGACGATGATTTCGATGATGAAGTTGATAATGATGATCATATTCATAAACATAATACTAACAACACTAATAATAATAATAACAACAATTATGATGATAATAATGATGATGATAATGATGATGATTATGATAATGATAATAGTAAAAATGATGATGATAATGATGATGATGACGATGGTAATGATGATGATTTCGATGATGATGTTGATAATGATGATCATATTCATACAAAATAATACTAACAATAATAATAATAATAACAACAATTATGATGATGATAATGATGATGATGATGACGATGATGACCTGCGTGTCGCATGTGACCTCGTATGACCCCTTACACCTGTAAATTATGACATGCCGTACTTGTCCTCCTAACGGCAAGAATGTTTTGATGCACTAGTCTTGAAGTCACAGACCCAGGGTAGAATACTTTTTGCGCATGAATGTAAAATGCCACTCTTGAGACCAACAATATTTAGACCTGTGAGTACTGGCAAGATAACCGCCGCCGAGTGGGGCAGTACCCCTAACAATACACTGCTACAGTAGTTTAAAATGAATTTCTTTTTCGTCTAGCTAAATTACTGAGACTTACAAAATCGGCAGGCGGAATAGGTTTGTCCATGTGTGACTGTAATCTATATAGCCTGAAAAGAAAAGAAAAAACCCAGGCATTTTGCTACTGTTGATCTCGGATGGAGACTCCTACACTTAATGGAGGAGTCATATGAGGAGGGAGAGGAAATAGGAGAAGAGGGAGAACAAATTAGAAGAAGAACTAGCAGGACCCGCGGAAATCCGCGGGATTCTAGAGGTGGGCGGGGGGGGGGGGGTGTAAATAGATATATAGAGACTGTCTAAATTAAAACCACCAAGAACTTTATTTGCCATTCAGGCCATTAAAAAAATATACATGTTTAGCGTCCCTGCCCGCTTCCTTTTTGGGGGCCGCCTCCTATTTTTTTTTTTTTGAAAGAAAAAAAAACAGCGTCCCCGCCTGCTTCCTTTTTGGGGGGCCGCCTCCTATTTTTTTTTTTTTTTTTTTTTTTTTTTTTTGAAAGAAAAAAAACTTGAAAAGCACTGCTAAAATGTATTTCTGATTTTAAATAAGAAAAAAAAAAATTGTCGGCCGCCATCTTGAAAAATAGCCCGAATGTTAGGGAAAAATGTACGGAGCGGCCATTTTGAAAAAAAAAAAAAAGGGCCTCCTCCTTCCCATTTTTCAAAAAAACAGGATGCTAAAAATGTTTTTTTTTAAATTTGGCCTTATATAAAAATTAAAAAAACGATCCAACTGTACCGGTAATTATTCTTTAAGCCACTGGATTGAACTGCAACGCAGCAGTCAGTTCAGAGTTTAGACATTGAATATCATATACATGACTTATATTGTTAAAGGACGACCTAGAGATCTCTAACAACGCAGACGACACATTGAATAGCTTCTGCGCATGGCAAGACACATTGAACCCGGAAGGTGATGAGCAACACAATCACCATGACAACGCAATACTTCTTACCAGGTGAGGTCAATCCCATTCAGGCTAATAAGTATGGATGAAGCAGAACAAATATTAGTTAATTACACATCCGACTATTTTTAATCCTTTTTCTTTTTGTGTTCTTTTTTTGTTCTTTCTCTCCCTCTATAATATATTATAGTATTAATGACTACGCCTCGGGCAATAGCACAATTGTAACTTCCCTTGAGCGTATAAAAACAACTATTTCTCGAATAATAAAGAAGTCAATAATACTTTTATATGCCGAAAAAAAGTCAACTTATGACACCACCTTGGCCTTTCTCTAGTTTATATGCACGGTTGTTTTTTATAAGTGTATCTTTGAGAGTATAGACTAGATCTAGATTCTAGTCTAAGCAAGATATTTTTACAATTTTTGGGGTGGGCCGGCCCTGTGGGGAATATGGAGAAAAATCTGCACTTTCATATGACACCTCACTTATTGAGTATCACCTTTAGGATCACAACAGATAGAGGTTTGAATCTCGAATTGAAAGAAAAAAACTTGACTTATTTTGCATGGTCGCACAATGCACGTAGACTGCATAGAGACTGCATCGCGTGCAATCTCTATGGGAAGAATTAGCACACAACATCGGGCGCGCGATCAGACACCCTGACTACTACTAGATCTAAGCATTTTCAGCAACTAAACGAACATGTTTATGGATAATTTCACGTACCCTTTTTGTTGTGCTTGCTGTCAGCGAGTCTTGCATTTGATAAGTTGGAATCTTGGGAGAGTTTCTCAAGCCATTTTTGTCTTGTTTGGAATTGTCTTGTCTTGTATGAAAATACCGACCAATTCTTCGCACACGTACGGTATCCTCGATCGCTCAAACCATTTCACCAAGACTGAACTATTTTTCCGGTAACCATGGTAACTGGGATTTTAGAACCATTTTTTAAGAACTATTTTCCCGGTAACCATGGTTACTGGGATTTTAGAACTATTTTTTAAAACTATTAAATGGGTTTGGAATTTTACCGGGAATTTTACAGGAATAGTTAAAGTTTATGAATGCAATTTCGACCAATCGGATGGCTGGATTTCTTAAGTGAGGTATATAAATATATTTATTGATTCTCTTTAGTGATTCTCTTTATGTTTCTGACACTTTACAGTTTCTTGCCTCATTCTTTTTCACCCTACGTACATCACCCTTTCTCCTTTTGTCTAGTTACCCTCTTCTAATCGTGAATGAAACATATAAAAATTCAATTGTTGTCCGAACAGTTTCAAGTAACTAGAGATTACATACAACTTCAAATTTATATTCATTTTTGGATAATGATCTTATTCAGTTTTATATGTAATTTAGAAAAAAAGTTTAAATGGTTCAATGATAAATTTATAATCATTGAATTTTCTTTGAAGGAAGGACCTGTGCCGGGGTTCTGATATCTGCTTCACGTTGGGGTTGGCCCACGTGTCTGGCATGGGTAATAGGAAGCGAAGCTGTAGCATCAACGAAGACAACGGCCTTGCTGTTGGGTTCACCGTGGCGCACGAGATGGGACACAAGTAAGAATAAGCGTAAATCAGTGTCATATCTATAGCCGAATGACTTCCGGGGCAAGCAATATATTTGGACCCCCTGCTCAAATTTATCAATTAAAAATACGAACCAGTCGGGAAGCAAAGCGATGTTATTTTTGTTCTGAATTTTGAACCCGTTAAATCCTCAATTTATGGAGTACCATATAACAGGATCCAGAAGAAACACATGCGAGAGAGTATCGTGACCAAACTTCAGAAATCGTTGGCACGTGAGACTTTAACAAAATATGATAAGGCATTTCGGCATTGACTGGAGGTGCATATATTTTTTAATGACCCTGAAATTTATTGGTTTTCTTTCCCTTTCTCTTTCTCTCTTTGTCTACTTTGTGCGCCTTTCAAGTACCACCCTTGGCACTTCCCCCGCCTCTGCACTCCCTAAATACACCTCGGGTTAAAACCATCTTACACTGTACGAGTCGACTAAGATCAGATTGTGAACGAAATCACAATATAATCAAACATTAAAAGTGTAGGCATGTTAACTATTCCTGATTTCAACTTAATACTTGCCATGATTTCAGTCTGCAGGTAATTAGTTTTAGAGGGAGAAGCCTCAATTATTAAGATCACGGTTCTATCAAAAGTACATGCTCTCAACCGTCATGATTTTGTAATCAGTATTTTGAGGTAACGTCGGTAACGAAAAAAAAAAAAAACTTCACGGAAATGTGTTATGGTTTACCCTTATATAGCTTTGGCATGCAGCACGACGGCATTGATAACCCATGCTCGTTTGACGATGACCCGAGTGGCCCATATGTGATGTCTTCACGGGTTCCTAGTGGTCTTACACCCACAGCATGGTCCTCCTGCAGTAGAGAATACATCACTCGTTTCCTAGAGTAAGTACAAATACGGCGGCAGCGGTAGGATCATGAGGCCATTTTGGTTTTTATATTTAGACATCAAATCAATTATGGACAGCGGTCCGTAATTGTGACGTCTTCTCGGGTTCCCAGTGGTCCAACACCAATTACATGGTTTACTGTACCAGTGAGTACATTTCAGTAAGAAGAAATAATGTTGGCAACAGTGGGATTGTGGCCATTCGGACTTAAGATTGATTCAAATTGAATCAGATTATATATGGATAGGTCCATTCTTAATGTCTTCCAGGTCTTTTTAGTGGTCTTACATCCACTTTATTGTTTACCTGTACCAGAGAGTACAGTAGAGTAAATAGAATTATGGTTGGAGCGATGGAAATATAAGGCCTATCAGGTGCATATGTGATATCCGCATACATCTATAGTGGTCTTACCCATGATCTACCGGCAGCAAGGAGTAGCTCACTTTATATTTAGAGTACATTGGCGACAGCGGTGGGATCGAAGGAAAGTCGGACTTATGAACGGCTTGACAGAAGAACGTTTTTATCTGTAAAACAATGAATATACGAGTTAGAGATTGCTTTACCTAAAAATTCCCAATATTTAAAACAAAGCTATGGCATTTAGAATACCAAATTACTCACATTTCTTGCAAAAAGATGATTTTGTTAATTAGTGATTGGAATTTGTTCTGAATCATGTCGTGAAAATTCAATATTATTTGCACGTATAATTATGATTTCTGCAGTAGTGGACGGGGTAGCTGCCTGGAGGATACGCCTTCATCAACACCTTACAAATATCCGAAGGTTCTACCGGGTGTCATGTACTCGGCAGACCATCAATGTCGTCTACAGTACGGACCGAATGCAACTGCCAGTCCCATGTTTGAAGTAAGAATCTTTGCAATTATCTTTACTTTAATCACAAAGACGAGGAAAAATTTCAACTACCACTCTGTGATGGATAAATAAGAGGAGCGAGGCAGACAAATAATCAAGAAGTCGATCGGTTTTGGAATATTTGAAAAAAATTGGGCAGGGATTATAAAAAATAAATCTTTAGCTTTTTGTCAAGTATTTTAGCGAGAAATTCCAATGTATTGGATAATGTTTAAAATTGAGTTCATGAGCATGACTACAGCATTTTCCATTGATTTAATACCCCAACAATCTTAAGCGTTATTTCTACTTTAAATCATGTCTCTCCTTTTATTTGAAATCTTTCTTTTCCTTCTTCACTAATTCTCTCCTCACTTCATTCCTTTCTTTGTCTATATGTATCTATCTTTTAACTTTCCTTGTTTATTTTCCAACTTTCATTTTCATCTCTTTCTATAAACTCTAATTGCTTATACTCCATCACTCCACTCCGCTGAGTCCAGTCTGATCTCTGTACTACCCTGTGGTGTAGCGTAGGAGTCATGAAGAGATCACGCATGACAGCAGCTGCACAGGGTTCTCGGTGTGGGAAAGACAAGGTTAGTACCGTTAAAAAAAATAAAGGGTCACCTTCAAACATCTAGTGGTGTAATCTCACACAATAAGGCCCGAAGTCACAAAGGAAGGTTGTCGTAGGGGGTAGTTGTCGTAGGGGGAGTTGTCCAGAGGGTATTCATCCTAGAGGGTGGTTGTCCTAGGGGATAGTTGACTGGGGGTGGTTATCCGGGGGATTGATGTCCAGGGGTAGGTGCCCTAGAACCCCTAGCTAGATATTTAATAGGGGCCTCCAGAAATGTCTAAGCCATGGGGAGCTTAGAACAGTTTCTCCACGGGCTGTCAGATATTTCGGCTTGAGGCCCCGTTGATAAGTGTTCTGAGGGCCGGTTATAGGTTGAGTTGGCCTGGTTACAACGGAATTCTCCAACCGAATTTCAGTTCCAGTCCGTCCCTGCATGAATGCTTCATTAATTGTAATATACTTTGGATTCATAATGCTATGCTAGATCTTGCAATAACTAATGCAAATTTATAAAACAAAGGTGAGGTCAGTAGATATAGGGTCGTCCCCCAAAATTGATAAAGAGAGTAAGAACAATATGATTTTAAAAATCCGTTATTGAAAACTCGAGTACATGTCACATTCACAAACAGTCTCAACCGATTTGATCCTGAAATCCCTACCTCGACCTGCCGTCATAGTTACAAATGCTTGGTTTGGCTTGTTTTATTCACGGCCTAAAAACATTCCATTCACAAATATAGACATAAACGAATATTTATATAAAAAGAATATGACTGAATTGCTTTCTTCAAAGTCATTAATGCAATGGCCTAGATCCTGTCAGGGCCAAGGACATTATGTATGATTGTTGTTAAAGATATCTCTTATTTGATTGTGTTCAGTGGTGTATATCTGGAGAGTGTATCGACATCGATGAACATCCCGTGGTCATCGATGGCGGATGGGGTCCATGGAGCGAGTACTCTGAGTGTTCCCTGACGTGTGGACGGGCCGTCAAGTCTAAAGAGAGACACTGTAACAACCCAAGGTATTCTTTTCTGACTTTTCGGATTGCCATCTCCATTATCTTATAAGATTTTGAAGTACATGTATTACGGTTTATAGCTTCGAAAGAAATATCACGATGGAGTAGAGGTGGTCAGAATTCATGTGCTCTTGACAGAGCTCCAATGATTGATGTACAAACTTTCTATGTGCAACCTGCTGAAGATTATAATGCAGCTACACAATTTTAGATATCGCTGGGTTACGGTCGTAATCTGATCAGTGGTCGTAGCTTAGATCGTAACATGAGCTTACTATACTTCGTGCAGTAATGTTCGTGCTGTAGAGAAACTGATCGGCAAACTAAAATACAGCTCCAATGGGCGTTTTGAACGAAATCTTCGTCCAGGGCGCCTAGAGGATAATGACCATGTCATATTCCTGCGGATCGGTGTTCCTTCACTATTAAACACAAATGCGGCGACAGCCAGCGAGTCCCCAGTCGAATCATTCCGGATAAAGTTTTACGAATACTAACTCAGAGAAATTAATCTTTTTTTGTTTTACCATTGCTCCTATAGTCCATCTCATGGAAGAAGATACTGTGTTGGTGAGAGAAAGAAGTATACCATGTGTAAGCTTCAGGTACGTATAGTATTAACTTAAATCGACTAATTTTGAAAAACAACTATAGATGGAAGCATGACAAAATATAGGGTTCAGAAACATCGAATTATGTACCTTGGTCCTAGATAAGACGTTCATTCATTCAGGCAGTAATGTAATCAATCGGTGCAGAGAAGGGCAAGTACAAGGTTTTGATCATTTGTTGCCCTGTACGTCACCAAGTGCTATAAAGTTCTGAACATAATTATACTGACTTCAAATGTATCTGGTCTGATTAAAGCTCTAGTATTGCTATTACGACAATGATCATATGTTCTAACATCTTATATCATCTGGTCTGTGACGTACGGGACACACTATAGCTTGGACTTACACTATTATGATACAGATGGAAAATATTTATGTTATAGTTGCAATGTTTAGATATGTATCAGTGGTAGAACCAATGGGATGGAGCACCTCTCAGATGTCTCATAGTTGTGACATGAACATTTCGTATAAGGGGATTAACAATTAATAGGACCCCTGGTTGCTAATGTTCGTTTTCTATTTCTTGTTGTAATTATACATATGTTTTGTGTATTCAATGTCACTTACAAATAAAAAACACTCTTCGAAATCATGGATTTGCCGGTACGGGTACAACGGTGCCTTCACCAGTTGTCGCTCGCCTCTTTATATAATTATTACAAATATAATAGACATCAAATGGTTTCATCCTTATCTCGACTTTCAAAGTAAAACATGAATGTGGCTTTGATTCCGTGAAATATAAGTCATTGTTGCTTTTATTTTTTCTAGGATTGCGTTCATGAATCTGTGAGTGTTCGTGCCATGCAGTGTAGCACCTATGATACAATCCAATCGAATGGTACCCAACTCGCATGGATTCCAGTCGATGTCGAAGGTGCGTGGCGTAGTGGTTCATTCACTTCAAAGTTGATGGTTCGAATCCTACCCCCCAGGGATGGTTTGAGACTAAAATTCGGTTGGGAAATTTTGATGCGACCAGCCCATTCACTTTTCCTTCAAAGAAGCTTGGGGCCTACTAACTGTGTCTAATACCACAAGTCAACTGGCTATAAAACTGAGTGGCTCATGGCAAAAATTTCACCTCAAATTCCTTTCACTCATAATGGCCCCTGAACATCAGCACAATGTCCCTTGGCCAGGGTTAATCTACATTTCCACTGTTAGACAAAGGTGTAATAAGTGGGGACTTTTCTTGGGAAATATAGATATTGATTTTTTTAAGGGGGGGGGGGGGGGGAGGTGATGTGACCGAGTGGCTTGAATCATGAAACAAGTGTGGAGAATTCCTCTTTAAAATGTAGTAGAAGTATCTTCTACACGGAATGTATGAAAATATGTAATTTTACTTTCGCCCTTTTCTTCCTATTCTGACAGTGTGTCTTTCTGTATATATCTTTGTATTTTCACTCTTTTCTTATAGGCTAATATATATGATAAACAATCAATTTCTCTCGTTCTATTTTTTGTAGATAAACCTTGTGAATTGTTTTGCAGACGTCGTGATCAAGCATTGATAAAGAAGAAGTCAGTTCACGTGACCAATGGAACTCCCTGTACTCGCTTCTCACGTGATATCTGCATTGACGGTATATGTCAGGTATGGGTTCCTTTTTTCGAAGGTTCGTAGTTCCGAAAGTTCATTAATTCGAAGGTTAATATCCCCCCAAAACACAAACAAACGAGATAGGGTTCATAATACCGAAGCCCTGTATCGTTTTTCGGAAATACTTACCTTCGAAATTATGAACCAAATCTAATATTCGGAAGAATGAACCTTCGGAATAATGAACCCTTGTTTATTTTCGGAATTATGAATAATAAATGGAATACATCGAACAGAAGATATAGAAGGGGGGGGGGTGCATCAAAGGTACTTGTCCCCGTCCTAATACATGAAAACTACTTTTACAATAATTTCATTTTATGTTAATGGAGAATATATTTAAACTTGCAGTATCTCTGTATTTAAGTATTGTATGAAGCTCATATTTTGAATATAGCATAGCCATATGGTACCCCAATCATACTGAAGAACAAATATATTTTTTAGTGATTGGTACCTTTTAAAAATACGCTTTTCCCCCAGATGGTTGGTTGTGATAATGTTGTCAGCTCAGGGGCGGTGGAGGACCGATGCGGTGTATGCCGCGGGGATGGGTCATCCTGCCTTACAATTCAGGATAGTTTCAACACGAAGTATGGACGAGGTTTGTACGATTCGCTTTATCTAACCAAATTATTCAAATGGAACGATTCATACATCTATGTCTCATTTTTGTTATATTGCATACAATGTATGATTACTTACATTTTATTTGAACAACGCGATGGCAACTTCTTATGAAAAATAAACCTTAGACAGTTTCACTGACCTTGTACGTCGACTACATTGCAAAGACGTAATATGTAATCTGTACATGATTTCTATGAAATATACAATAGGGCATTGAATTTGCCCCTTGATTGAATTTTTTTTTTCGAATGTAGTTGCCATCGGGTTTTTGTGAGTGGCTCCTTACTGTACAATAGGAATGTTTTAGAATTGAGAACAGCCATTTTATTAGGAGAAGACTTTAATTCATTTTATCCAAGCAATAATTTCATCACCAGAAAAAAAAAAAAAAAAAAAAAAAAATCACCAACAAAATAATTATTATATTAACCCTCAATGCAAGGGTTAAGGGTTCCATTTATCCACTTTTGCCACTCTCCACCCAGGTGTAATCAGGTACCTGGCAATGCTGGGGTAATATGAATTGCAGGGTTCCACATGAAGAGCAGTATTAATAATGATGTTGCTACCCTGGGTAAATAAGACCCCAATTATAATTGTAGTTTATATTATTGTAGGTTATGTGGAAATCACCGTCATCCCTGCCGGTGCTAGGAACATCGTGTTGGATGAATTGGTCTCTTCCCAAAACTACCTGGCCATTAGCAATGCATCAGGACATGACCTGCTAAACATGGATTGGTATATTGATTGGAGCGGGGAGTATCAGGCCGCAGGGACCATTATCAGCTACGAGAGGATAGACAACAAAGAACGAGTGGAGATACTAGGTCCCATCAGCGAACCGCTGCACATCTATGTAAATAGGGGCTTCACTGGAATATCTTTCATGGGATTGTGTTTCATAATAATCATAATAATCGGAAGGGATTTTCTGATATATTATATCAACAAAAAATGACATAGATTATTAACAAGCAACGATAATAGCAATACTAAACAAAACAAACAAACTCACTTTTTGAAATTTGTTAAGTAGTTTTGAAATGTGCATTTACGAGACAAAAAAGAAAAGAAAAGGTTTCTAGAACCATTTTTGAATAGGCAAATATACCATGGATTTGACATACCCCATCAGTAATATATGTACCCGCCTGACAGGTTGAAAAGAAATATCTCTGTCGGTTAAACTGGTTTTGGAGTATCAAAAAAAAAAATTATACTTGTATGATTTATTGGGGTAGATGTGCTGATCAACTGTTTTATAGTTTGCTTTGTCATTGAGTTTTAAAACAATAACATATTTTTTGTCAGGTATTGATTTCAATAATATATACCCATTGTCCCATTAAATTGTTAAACACATCATGTACGTCGTATCAGAAAATATGTGATAATATTTTCCCTCTCTCCTTTTTCAGCTCATATTTCAACGAGCTCAGAACCCTGGCATAACATACAAGTATACCATGCCGAGAGAAGGAAACCAGACTGCTGTCATGCCGCAGTTCTTCTCCTGGGTCTTTACCGATTGGTCCCCGTGTTCTGCATCCTGTGGCATTGGTTAGTTGTCCTTATCCCTTGTAGCTACATGTATGTTCTGTGAAAGCTTTATAGTGCTAACGAACCGGCAAATTAGGCAGATTCAAAAACAACGAAACGAGGAGAGATTATCAGAATTCTCGTTATTTCTTGAGACGAAAAAATGAAAAGAATCTTGCCAATGCAGTTGATTATTTTGTTGGAAAAGGACAGCCAAAAAGTATTCATCAAGTCCTTGACTGGAGCTTCTCTAAAGAGGAGGCAAGGGAACATGATCAGTTTTTCAGTTGGTCTCGAGGAACATCTTAGGAAGTCAAAGTTATTAATTTAAGACTGGTATCACGCGTTTTGGTCCTTAGTACTGGTTGATTTCACGACGTTCTGGCATTGCTATCTCTTCTTCATTATCCTCATAATTTGATCTGATGAGAAATTTATTTCGTCTTCATTTCGTCTTCTCGATGGCATTCTTCCATAAAGGGTTTTTATCATATATATATGTCCTGTGGTTCGTACAGACTTGGACCCTGTTTCATAAAACTTCTTATATGTAACAAATGTTAAACCTCAATGACGAATTTGCTCTCAGCCAATCAAATACAATGATTTCAGTAACTTACAATGTTTATTGTTCTCGTTTCTATGTTTCAAGAAAACAGGGCCCCGGTTATTCACATTTTGGACTGACCATTGATGTCACCATTAAAGCAGTAGCGACTTAGGGTCGAAATCTGGTTATCTGGTTATTGTATAGGCAAACCAAAAACCCGATCAGTAGACTAACTTGGTTTTAAATACATTGATTCACGTCGTACGATGGTCCAAACCTAACTCTTTAATTTATTGAAAAACAATTATGCATTATTGTTGTAAGTTTTTTTTAAAAATTTTGAATGAATTTTTGTGTTTTTTATTGCGATATCAGGTTATCAGCGTTCGAGTGTGATCTGCAAAGAGTTGATAGCCGGACTGGTTGATGACCGATACTGTGAAGGCATAAAACCAGACGACATGCAGCAGACTTGCAATGAACAACAGTGCCCTGCCACGTGAGTTTGTTTTTCACCCAGTAGAATCATGCAGCAAAATCTTTCATTTTCTCCAGCCATTGAATAAAATCTGCATTCCATTTAGCGTGAAGGCGAGGCTACGTCCATGTGAGGCCCTTCGGCCTATACAATGTTGCAGTCAGTAATATTTCTTGTTCCCACCATATTTTATCTGCGGATGACATTTTTAATAATCTCCAAACACTATGGATGACAAAAATTGTATGCCTTGTCTTCCTGGACAAAGTTTTGTTTTGGAAGATCAAGTTATGAAACTTATCACTTGATTCCTTTTGTTAGTACTCAAAAAGCCTCTGATGATTTGTGTAACATACATAAATTTCAAAATTGCACTGAAGTTATAAAAAGACATGTCAGGTTCGCACAGAATAGTTCTTGACCAATTCGTGTTGCTACAGATGGTGGGAAGGGCCTTGGCAACACTGCACAGGAAGCTGTGGAGAGGAGGGGCACAGACAGCGATGCGTCTTCTGCATACGTGGTTCCACCAACGGCGAACAGACTGTCCTCGATGACGTCGACTGCCTTAGTCAGGACCAAGAGAAACCCGTCACTGAGACCACATGTGCGGTTAACCTGCACTGTGAATCCAATGACAACTGGCAGACAGGAGAATGGTCGCAGGTAAGCGCGTGCAGATGTTCGTCATACAGAACTGTGCGATATGGTATTGGAGGAATAATACTGTTAATTCAATTTGATCTAACGTGAGTAGTCAACATGTCGACAGCTTTTGACTATTGCTCTTGAATATAGGCATAATGACATAAACAGGGAGGATAAACACAGGAAATACATTTGGAAACGAAGGATTTTACTGCAAATTGCTCGAATAAACTGTTATTATATAAGGTTATGGAGTAGATTCGATATTTTTCTAAAAGGTTTTGTGATCTACCACTATACCCCTACTAAATGTTCATAATATAAATACCATACCATACATGAGAATGATTTATTCCTATATATTTCCCTTAAAGTGTTCCGTTTCGTGTGGCAGTGGGTGGCATACCAGGTCTGTTATCTGCACGAACGTCATCAAACCTTGCGATGTTGCAGGAAAGCCCAGCGACAGGAGACCATGCTTCTTAGATCAATGCCCTAGGAGACAAGACTTCTACAACGCTATGCCGGAGGCTCCTGAAAGCCGCTCCTACGCGGACAATTCTTCACTAGAACACTCATCAGCGAGCGTGTCCGCTAGCAGTGACTACCCAGCGAATTTCGGCGAGTGGGAGAAGAAGATTGCCATCCAGAAACACGAATCGGCGGCTAATAGCACAAAGCTGCACCCGCCTGTGCCATCTGAAGAAGCGCCTCATAAACCTAACTACGAATTGAACATTACTACCCATGACATTGATGTCATAGAAAAAGAGCGCAAGGATTCTACAATAAACCAACTTCCTGTTGTGCCGGATTCTCCGTATGTAAATTTTATCTTATTCCCATCTGCCCTGAACGACAAGCATCCACCGGCTTCAGATACTGCTACTCGTCTGCAACATCAGTCTCAAGAGCCTTCGTTTTGGTGGTCAAAACAACCGTGGCAGCCGGTAGGTTCCGACCTTAATAGCTTTCTTTATTTGTAATTCTAAGCATTTTGACAGGGGCTTTCATGAACATAGACACGGTGTCAGAGCTCGACAAGTGATGGTAATGCCGCAGAGCATGAAACTTGTATTTAAGCCTTTTTTTTTAGTACAAGGTGGATAATATTTGTATAGGAAAGAGAAACTAATATGATGTGAAATGATACCTTAAATGTCGACAATATATGTCGATATAACTAACACTGAATAAACATCTAACATTGAATGTACTACATAAATTGTAAATTTTATTTCGGAAGGGTGGAATGAGTGGCCCATTCCTCACCTTTCCACAACTTTGTTGGTCCTATGTCAAGCGTTTCACCAAGCTGTAGGTTAACAAACAATGTGATAGCTAAATGGGGGGGGGGGGGGGGGGTATTTTTCCCACTTCTACATTCCTCTGATGCCCACGCATCATGTCATTATCATCTCAATTTCTTTCACAGTGCTCTGTAACTTGTGGCGATGGTATCCAACAACGAATAGTGGAGTGTGTTGATAGAATCACCGGCCAGAGGACACCAGGATGCTCCCAAGAAAATCAACCCGTTTCATTGCAGTCTTGTAACTTGGGCATTTGTCCTCGAGGTATTATTAACAATGCATATGACTGTTACAATCATATATTAACTGCTCTAGTTGCTTACTAACAAGCATTTATGCTTTCTTAGCAGTCAGGTAAAATAACCTCCACTACCACTACAACTACCCTAATCATTGATAACCAAATTGTAATCAAAATAAGAGAAGACGGAGAAACGGCGTTCTCATTGACGGCGCACTCGTCAACCATCGTCAGTGACCTGCATTCAACCACTCACCAACAAACTAGGTGACGTTGCAGTTTTCTTCTCTACTGCTCCCAAACTCTGGAAAAGGCTCCCACCTAACTTAAATAATCACCAACTTTAGAAAAATTCACAGAGTTTGAAGCCATATCTATTCTGAAACCATTGCCCCGTTACACAAAACTTACCATCGATGGTAATTTTGCAATTAATGGTAACTACCATAGAAACCTTGATTTTGATTGGCTGTGGAGTCCCGTTACCATGGTAGTTGACATTGATGGCAAAGTTACCATCAATGGCAAGTTTTATGCAACGGGGTCCATATGCATTCATTGAACTCACACTGTCACTGCTTAGTAATTTTTATATATTTTTACTCGAACGCTGACCCAGGGATGACATATCTTGACGCTTTGTTTCCAGTGATAAAAAAGCGAAATAATAAATACCATCTATTACTCTTGTTATTAATTAAATGTTTTTGTGCATAAGGTCTTGTGAATATTACAATTTTTGATATATACTTTTTTATTTTCTGTTAACAGTTTGCAGGAATACACTCAGCACCACCATGTGTTTGATGATCGTCCAATCAGGAAGCTGCTCTCAAACACACTTTCGTGAAAGATGCTGCAGAACCTGCACCGAAGTCAGATAGCGTTTCCTTTTGCACATGTAATCTGTAGAACTTTGGACAGTACTGAATGTTATATGTCTCCATCCGCGTATAGTTAGATAAAAGCGTAAATATAAAAACGGCGGCTGAGGAATTTGATGAAGTGTGTAAATGAGTAACAGAGCCAAGACCTTTTGCGAAACATTATTTTCAGATTTGTAAATTATTTGTATGTTTAATCGTTACCCGTTCAAAATTTAGATTTGTTTATATATACTGTTCTTGAGAATTTTTGTTATATATTATACTGTTACAATGCCGCTGTACTGATTTCTTGTGTGTAGTTACAAGGTTTTCGCGAGATACCCCCCCCCCCCACAATAATCACATACACACACAGACACACGAACACGCGCACGCACACGAACACGCACGCCACAGCCGCCCACACACACACGCAACCACACGCTCTTCCACACACAGAAAAATCTGTTTAGATGATAGAAAATCATAATCCATACTAATTTACTGTATGATTTTGTATGGTCGCATGTTCGTATTGTTTTAGGAGGCAATTGATTGGAATTTATAGACCTTTAAATTTTGCCTTTTATGTGATTCTTGAGTATAATGTACACGTGAAGATAAGTTATATATGATTGAATTAAAAAATATCTACTGTTTCAAAAACCTTAAACTTTGTGTTTGTTATTTTGTATAAACAAAATAAATTGTCTATGCTATTCTTATTGAATGAAAAAAGTGGATCAACACGTAAACTAAACCATTAGAAACTTCATGATCATAAAACAGAATTAATTTTAACACCCACACTTACACGCACATCCACACTCTTACATGTTCATATACAGTACATGTATATTAATGTAATGATGTATGTTACATAACTTTATTCTTTAGCCTTTCCAACTTTTAAACCGCTGGTGTAAATAACGCCCTTTTTGAATACATAATTTTAGACTAAAAGGGCAACCCAACCAACCTTTGTAAAAAGTTCATTCAGGAAAAAAAGGGAAAACAAATGAGTGAAAGTTTGTAGTAAATCGAACGAATAATAAGAAAGTTATTAATGTTTGAAATATGAGATCACTAAATCTTAACGAATCTCAAATTGGCAATTTGGTCAGTTGGTTGTGACCTAGCCATGGATAACCCAGTTTGTCGTGTACAAAAATATTCATTTTTATTTTCTCTTGTGCCCTCTCTTTTGGGGGCATTACTCAGAATATATTATGGATATCATATTGTTATAGGTACTCTAAAAAGAAAAGGCCCTCGTTATTCATGCATTTTGAAGAAAAGCAACAAGAAAATATAGTCATTTTATGTATTGAAACAAATGAGAAAGTTGTCCGGCACTGCGTCACAGTGACATTTCTGATGCAGTCAATTCGAAATACCCATACGTATAGTGATTACAACCTGTTCAAAACCCATTATTTTCTTACTATTCGTCCGATTTCATTCAATATTTCACCAGTCTACCTCTCTGATTTTCGAATTTCTTTAAGTGTAGTGGTCAATTGTTTGGATTATCATTTAACAATGGAAAGTTAATGGATTGGAAACAGTCCAACATCGGAATGACAGGTGGAGTCAAAGTAACATCCCGTTCTATGCCGACACCTGAAATATCAAACACTAGCACTTTCATTCTCTTTCGCTGTTCTCACGAGACTTCAGCAGACATGTCGATTACATGTCCCTTAGAAACAAAATATTAACATGATCAACCTCAGATCTCAATCAACTTGAGAAACTATACCAATATCTTTGAAATGGTGCAGGTTTGTAGAATAAATAACGTGAACAACGAGAGCGTAAACCATTAAAGTGTATTTATTGATACGACGAACACATATCGATGATGAAAATACATGTCAAATGGGCAGGGCGCCCTTTACCTAACTTCACCTTGTTAACAGCGCCGAACGTAACAAAAGACACAGCACCCATTGTTATACATAATGGTTATTACTGCTACTATTTTATACATCTATCCTATTGGCTATTGCTAACTGCAAATACCAGTGCAGAGCATTAATCTATTTACACTAAAAGAAAATACTAAAAAAGTCATGAACGTGATTGATATGCTAAAGTTTTCGCAGAAGTTATGAATATTACAGTTTAAAAGCGTTGCCAATATATAAATCCGTATTGGAAGATATACAGAGAAACAAACAAATCAACGAAACCAAACAACGAAGAAAGTTGATTTATTAAATGAAAAATTACAGAAGGTCTGTAAAATATATCATATCGAATATGTACAACATTGCCGTTTACCTTAGTTTCTCATTCATCAAAAAAATAAATCACAATTGTAACTTTCGAGTAAAGCCTAGATACCAATGAAAAGATTTTCAGTGGAATTTGTAATTTTGGTCATTTTTTCTTATTATATAAAAAACGCAATCGCAAAGACCCATAAGAATTCAACTTGTAGGCAATTCTAAAAACCAAATAATGACTATAGAAATCATGTTCGGATTATTTATGTCACATTCATTTCCCAAAATTTCACTAAGTGACACATTATACTATATGAAATGCCTTATGTTGATTTCTCGAAGTATGTTATAGTTATATATATATTATAACCAATTGTATTACACGGGGTATAGTTACATCAGTGTGGAGTACTCAAATCGTCTTCATCATAATTATATACGACAGTCAAGAGGAAAATGTTGTGATTACACTTGCATTTGATGGAGCAGCCTTCGGTAGGAAGGGGTGGTTGGATGTCCCATCTCAGTAAGTTGGGGGGGGGGGGTGTCATTCTCATGGATACATGAGTAATTAATTTTGGAGATGAAAGAAGAGTCAGAGTTGTTGTTTAAGATTATAGAGATTTCCGAACATTTGTGTTTATTAAAAAAGATTTGGTAATTATCATGAACCTCACAAGAATCCTAATGTTATTGTATATATTTTCCAACACGTGGAATATATTTACATTTAATATACATGTATACATGTATAAATGTACTTGCCTCTGATTTGCTCCATATCGTGTAGATATCAATCTAGCAGTAGGTATTTAATGACACAAAAATCATGCATGTACTGACACCATAACTGGTGCAGATAATAATTTATTCATATATCTACAACTGCCATCAACATGATAGAGGCTCCATGTTCATGTTATTCTCTTACTAGACTTCCATTGCCAGACGAAAGGACTTTTCAAAGGTAGGCCTATATATCCACTCCCCCACCCACGTTCTTTCTGTTTACCCTGTTAAAAATCAACTGTACAACCTTGACTGCTTTCTTCATGATGCCGGATTCCTCCTGAGAGGCAGCTGTTTCGTATCTATTGTAGCAAGCGAGAAGCCAGGAAACCAGTCGTTTCTTCTCGTTATCATCGAAGAGAGATAGTCTGCAAGATTTACTGCCGTATTGAAAGACAGAAAATGCTCGGGGCTGTGAGATCTCGGTTATCATGTCAACGATTTCTGCAAATAATAAAACGGGAAGATATTCCGATTGTGCCGTATATAACGGGCAAGGATAGTGGGATTTTTCTTTATTGTCAAAAGGAATATATTTAGAGAACAGGGAGTAGATGACGATCTAATCCAATACATCCTGGTAATAATACTAAGAGGGACAGCACACATTATACGCAAAATATTGACAATAAATTAACACATATGCTATTGAGTGATTGGGACCAGTCATGGCGATGGTAGAATAGGGTAGGCTTGTCTATAAGAGAACAGGGAGTAGATGACGATCTAGTCCAATACATCCTGGTAATAATACTAAGAGGGACAGCACACATTATACGCAAAATATTGACAATAAATTAACACATATGCTATTGAGTGATTGGGACCAGTCATGGCGATGGTAGAATAGGGTAGGCTTGTCTATAAGAGCACCTTGTGAGTTATGAGCCGGCCGGACCTACCATTTGGGCAGGTCCTTAATCTGCCAGATAATATTACGATTAGACAAGCCGGTTAAAAAAAAATACATTTTAACATGTTCATCAAGTTGACACCACCTCTGTAGTGCCGTCGGTCCATGAATTGGACCCGGGTCTTTAGTTGTAAAAAAATATTTATACATATGAGAATACTAATAATTATCATGTTAATAAAAATGATGATAATGATATTAAAAACCAACTAGAAATGCAATCGTGTCACAACGATGTGCGTGCAATGACGCCATGTTTCTACGTGTCAAACGAAAGAGCTTCTATCGGACTATCCAGAGCAATTTGTACGAAGTCTGTAGCTTCTGTGATAGTGGAGATAGGTAGGGCGAAAGAAAGGCCTCAACAGTGACCTTGATGGGATGGTAGTGACTATGCCTACGAAGAAAGGGCTTGCAAGCACTGCGTGCAAAAACCAATGGGATTTGGTGCATGCTCTTCATTGCAATCAAGATCGTCCTGGGGGCCAATAGCGTGAACCCGATATGCCCCATAGACAATGCGTGTAATGCATGGGCGGAAAACGTACAGGATCTGTATTATGACCGGAGTTAAATTGTTTTTTCTCTCTCTCTTTATGTCTCTTTATGAGCCGTATTTGGTATCATTAGAAAGAGAATTTCATGATAGTTATTGTAAACCACTCTCTTTTTTTCAATGAAAATCCTATCGAAACACGTGATGTGAAATAGATTTATAGGACAAAATGGCGTCTTAAATGGCCCCCATGACCAATTTCAAAAATCCGGCCATGAGGTGCCCTGCGTATTGGAACTCGGCATGTCACTGCAAATTTTCAAGGGAAAAAAAGGTCGTTTAAGGGGCGAAAAGCAGTCTGAAAAAATGACGTCATGGCCAATAAGTGTTATAATCGGGCGGAAACTCGGCGAAATTCGTATAGTGACCCTTGTTCAAATGCGATTTACTCACAATTTTCTGTGTGAACATATACCATACTTGCTATCATTCGAAAAGGCACTTCATTGCGGTCAGTTTGACATCATTGCCATCTGCGCGCAATGTATTGCACGCATTAAACGCGCTATTACGTAATGCATAGTAAATTCATCATTTTTGGCGATAACTTTGCGCTGACATATTCGAATTTTACTAAACTTAGCAGACAGTTGTCACGTATATGGATACATATATCTGTTAAGTTTCATTGATATAGGTATAAGGATCGCCATTTTAGAGCAAGTTGAAGTTATTTTTGAATTTTCTCGAAAATGGCGAATTTGGAGGGCATTTTTCTCAAATTTGGTCAGTGTTAGGGTATATAATTTTGTATATGGCTGGAAAGGGCATATCTTCAAGTATCTAAATCCAAAAAAGGGTACGGGTTTGCCAAGCCATTATGGAGATACGGCCACAGAAAGAAAGCCAATTCCCAGAACTTTAGAGGGCGCTTTTTATGTT